TGCGATCTCAGCTCACTGCAACCTCCACCTCCTGGGTTCAGGCAATTCTCCTGCCTCAGCCTCCTGAGTAGCTGGGATTACAGGCACGCGCCACCATGCCCAGCTGATTTTTTTGTATTTTTAGTAGAGATGGCGTTTCACCGTGTTGACCAGTTTGACTTCTAGTTTCAATGCTCCACACATTGCACACTATTCTGAGATTTCTGTTCCTACCTCTGACAACACAGCCTGGCTAATTCTTACTGATGGAAACTGACAGCTTTTCTCATGGTTACCCTGCTGGTACCTGTGACTTGACTTTCCCAAACTGAATAAACTTGCCACCATCCCTCCACATCAACTCCTCATTCTATTCTCTCTCTTTCTGTCATGGAGGTCACTCTCCCAGGACTCAGGTGACGCCTCTCCCCATACACACAGTGAGTGGTCAAGTACAGCTAAGTTCTCTCCTGCCCATCCCTCTCTTTCTTTTCTTTTCTTTTCTTTTTTTTTGAGACAGAGTCTTGCTCTGTCACTAGGCTGGAGTGCCACGATGGTCTCGATCTCTTGACCTCATGATCTGCCGACCTCGACCTCCCAAAGTGCTGGGACTACAGGGATGAGCAGGATAAACTCGGTCACCTCCTTCAGTGTTTCCCATCGTCTCCCTCCCCTTCCCCCTCACACTCCAGATATCAGTTGCAGCGGTGCTGTTAACAATATACTGTTGTATTTGTTCTAAAAAAAGAAAGAAAATCATGTCAAATCCTGTACCTTCAGATCATCCAAGTTAGGCGGGAGTGGGCCTGGTTTGAAAGAAGAGACACCAGTTTGTCCAGAAAAACTGTTTTTGACAGGGGACAAGGGGGTATTGCTCAGTGGTGTTGAAGAACAGTTTGGATTTCTGACCATCTGTTCATTTGGTTCTCTAAAAAACAAACAAAGAGGCACTTCAAATACCATCAGATAGTGATGGGATAACTTGCATTTAGATCAGATCACAAAGTGATTGCGTACAAGGCACAGGCATGCAATAAACCAGCAGGAGACAACAGGGTGAGGGAAAAAACTGTGCTGGCTAGATGGCAAATGGTGTGTGACATCTGAACTTTGTTTAGGGAGAGAAGAGGTAGCAGGGGGGACTTTGGCATATGACAGAGGACACATCCACCTATGACTCAGCTGATACTCTGTCCTGGGGAGGCCAAGCAATCTGATAAAGCTTGGTTATGTTCAGTGCTCAGCATAATTGCTAGCATGGTCTGAGAATGACACAGAAGGAATCCGTACCTTAACGGTATAAGTGGGGATATTACGATTTAAAAGATGATCTAGCGGCCAGGCGTGGTGGCTCACGCCTGTAACCCCAGCACTTTGGGAGGCCGAGGTGGGTGGATCACCTGAGGTCAGGAGTTCAAGACCAGCCTGGACAACATGGTGAAACCCTGTTTGTACTAAAAATACAAAAACCAGTTGGGCACAGTGGTATGTGCCTGTAATCCCCGCTACTCAGGAGGCTGTGGCAGGAGAATCGCTTGAGCCCAGGAGGCGGAGGTTGCAGTGAGCCGAGATCGCGCCACTGCACTCAGCCTGGGCAACAGAGTGAATCTCCATCTCAAAAAAAAAAAAAAAAAGTTGACCTAGCAATGTGATCACACAACCTGGGCTCAGGAGGTAATCTCTGAGGCTGTTTCTCAGCTCTGTTACTTCTAAAAGCAGAAGTGCATTGGAATTGCTCATAATTCCAGTATCACATTCTTAGACATTCCACAGACCAATTTGAAAGTGTTAATACTTTCCTTTTTCCCAGAGGGGTCTTTTATCAAGGGCATTGATTTATAGTAGTCCCTTACTTATTGGCGGTTTCACTTTACACGATTTTAGTTACCCGAAGTCAACTGCAGTTCAAAAATAGATGCGTACAGTACAATAAGATGTTTTGAGAGAGACACCACTACATCCAGATACCTTTTATTACAGTAAATGCTGTAATTGTTCTATATTATTGCTAGCTATACTGTTAATCTCTCCCTGTGCCTACTCCATAAATTAAACCTTACCATAGGTATGTATGTCTAGGAAAAATACAGTTTATTTGGAGTTCAGTGCTATCTGAGGTTTTAGGTGTCCACTGAGGGTCTGGAATACATCTGCAGATAAAGAGCGCTCTGAATTTGCTTCCTCCCAGTGTTATGGCTCTGAAAAGGTGTGCATAGTTTGTAAATTGAGTCACATTCCAAACATATTGGATGAGGAAATGGTGCAATACAAGACTTGCTAGGTGCCAGATGCCTCAGGTAGATATTAATAGACACCCTTCCCAACCTCTGCCCGCAGCCACCCTCCCCGGCTTGCCCGACTCACTTGAGCTGAGCTTGGTGCATCCCTGGGTAGCTGAATTGGTGTTGCTGCTGCTGCTGCTGCTGCTGCTGGCTGAGGATCTGGAGCTGCAGGAACAGCTGCTGTTGCTGGAGCAACCGAGCATAGGCGGAGTCCATAGGTGGGGGGGACTTCTCTGCCTTCTGGTCTGGGGGAATGTACTGGTGATATTTAAGCTTCTTCACCTTTGGCTTGGGGTCCTTGGGCTTTTTGTGGCGGTTCTTACTGTCACCCAAGGATTTGGACTGCAAAGAGAATGAGGAAATGGCGTGTACTTTAGGCGATGGCTAAGAATGAATTTGCATCACGGACATGTTGATTGTGAGGCAGTTTTGTCTGATGGTCATTCCTGAATCTCAGAAATACGATATAGTAAGGGCATGATGTACAAAGAGCTCCTAGGACATTAACGTTGCTAACAAACAAATTCACTGCAAATGTATCACACGGGAAGGACACTCCTTAGACGGGGAATGTTGAATCTTAGAAGTAGCTCCAGAATTTTTTCTTTCTGGAGCGCAGCAAAATGTAATCCTGTGTCTCAATGAGTGCATTCTTCTAACCTAAAACCAACCGATGGCCCACAAAGGTGGCATTCTGTTCTTGAGACTATTTGTAGAAAGTTATTTCATGGCTGGCCGTGATGGCTCACGCCTATAATCCCAACACTTTGGGAGGCTGAGGTGGGTGGATCACCTGAGGTCAGGAGTTCGAGACCAGCCTGGCCAACATGGTGAAACCCTGTCTCTATTAAAAATACAAAAATTAGCTGGGCATGCTGGCAGATGCCTGTGATCCCAGCTACTCGGGAAACTGAGGCAGGAGAATCACTTGAACCCAGGAGGTGGAGTTTGCAGTGAGCCGAGATCGCACCATTGCACTCCAGCCTAGGTGACAAGAGCAAAATTCCATCTCAAAAAAATAAAATAAAAAAGTTCTTTTATATGCATAGGTGCAGTCATCTTTAGTTAACAGTAAGTTGACTTATTAGTGACACAAACTTAGATGAAACTAAGATTTTCTTTCAAAGTCTGCAATGTGGTTATTTGTTGATTTGGGCTGAAAGTTAAGGTAAACCCTGCCTATCGCCTGCTTGACACCTTCTCGCCTGCCAAATACCGATGAAAGATGAGGAAGTAACGCCTTTTGAAATAAGGATACTTTACTTATTATGGGAAGGGTTATCCACCTACTGGAACACTTCCCAGAGTTGGAACCCAAAGCATGTATTGCATGATTTCGACACACTGAGGTAAGTTAAGTATATAGTCTTAGAAGATAAGACAAATTTTTGAAAGGGGTACAATTACTTAACTTTAATACAGCTCAGTTTCCTCATCTGCAAGTTGGAGAAAATATTCTTTACTTTCTATCTCACTAATCAATATAAAGGCTATGAAAGATACTATTGAAATAATAACAGGTAGTCAACAAACAAGGTAAGTATGTCTATAACCTGTTCCTGAAATAAAAGACCTTTGTATATTAGGAAGGAATGGGTCCATCCTGTTATCAGGTTAAAAAAGGAATTTTCAGGCCGGGCGCAATGGCTCATGCTTGTAATCCCAGCAGTTTGGGAGGCCAAGGTGGGCAGATTACTTGAGGTCAGTTTGAGACCAGCCTGGCCAACATGGTGAAACAGTGTCTCTACTAAAAATCCAAAACATTAGCTGGGCGTGGTCGCAGGTGCCTGTAGTCTCAGCTACTTGGGAGGCTGAGGCAGAAGAACAGCTTGAACCTGGGAGGCAGAAGTTGCAGTGAGTTGAGATTTCACCACTGCACTCCAGCGTGGGTGACAGAGCAAGACTCCGCCTCAAAGAAAAAAACGGAATTTTCAAACCCTGGCTTTATTACAGAAGGTTGAAATGAAGAATCTGGATGCAATGACTGCAAGTGATCAAGGATTTGGGGGGATCATTGGAAGGAAAGTGTGTTACCACCGGTGACCAGAAGAGGGGGCTCCGGAACAGCTGGCAGGCATATTCTGACTTGGCAGCTTCCCCAGTTCATCCACAAACTACACATCTGAATGTGACCTTATCCAAAGGAGCTTGCAACTCGCTCGGACTCAGCGCATCCCACCCCGGAAGGCTCTTTTGTTTTCCAAAGAGGCTTCTTCTTGGCGACTAATGAATAACGAGCACAAATATTTCTGTGTGTTTGGTGACTCGGCTTGTCCCTGCTTACTAATCGATTAGCATTCTAATTAATTAATCTGTCTTCTGTCCTGAAACCAGCTCTGCCCTGGCCTGCTCCAGATCAGTCGCTGTTGTTGCCTCATTCTGAGGCTTGCCTTGTCTGGGTAGGATGGGAGCTGCAGCTCTGGCAGGGTCCCGCAGCTAAGTCAGGGGTCCAGGAGTTTTTTTTCTCTATGTTGCGTTAGCACATTCCGGAAGATACTGAAATCAGAACATTTTCTCTGGATAGTGTGGGGCAAAGACTACTACTACTATTCTCTTTTTGAGCCCAGGGGATACTAAGGTTGTGTGTGTTTGTTGACCAAGCAGAAGGGATGATGGCTCGTCTACAAATAACCAGCCCGCTGGGACCAGCTGGGTGTCTGTATTGATTTCCCTTTTCACTGAAAGTGATCTGTCCATCTCCTGGGCTTCTATCATACTTCCTAGTACAGTGAGGTTGAGGCTTTGCTAATTTTTTTTTTTCTTTTTGAGACAGAGTCTCACACTGTTGCCCAGACTGAAGTGCAGTGATCATGATCTAGGATCACTGCAACCCTTGCCTCCCGTATTCAAGTGATTCTCCTGCCTCAGCCTCCGGAGTAGCTGGGATTATAGGCGAGTGTCACCATGGCCAGCTAATTTTTGTATTTTTTGGTAGAGACGGGGTTTCCCCATGTTGGCCAGGCTGGTCTCAAACTCCTGGCCTCAGGTAATCCTCCCGCCTTGGCCTCCCAAAGTGCTGGGAGTACAGGGGTGAGCCCCGCTGCTAATTTGAATTACGCACAATTTAAATAATGTGATAGAAATATTAATGACATTTCTTTTTATACTCAGCTTTAGAAATAATGGGCTTCATCTCCTCCTCCTTCCCCTGCAATGAACAAAATGCATTGATAGTCATGTAATTTCAAACCTGTTGAGTTGAGTGAATTGTCAGCTGGGTTTAAGCTCTTGTGGTTTGGTGGGGGAGACTTACAGAGAAATGGAAGTGTCTGTCCTCCATTAGACTATAAAACTGTTACTATATCATTGATTTTTACTTCAATTTATAATCTTTTTTTAAATCCCATAAGAGTCATTTTAACATTCATTAAGTGGTGACACTAGAGCTGAGAAAACGTGTTCCCAAATCAGTTAGAAGTTAAAGCCAAGACATTATGAAGAAGGCCAAATGATTACCGCATAGTTGATTGAAGAGAGGGCAGGCTATGTGTTTTTTTTTTTTTTTTTTGAAGACAGGGTTTCACCATGTTGGTCAGGCTGGTCTTGAACTCCCGACCTCAGGTGATCTGCCCGCCTTGGCCTCCAAAGTGTTTGGATTACAGGTGTGAGCCACCATGCCTGGCCCAAGCAGCCTATGTATTGTGAGATACAATGCTGCTGTTTATAGAAACACAATTCTCAAGTGCAAAGATATGGAACCAATCTAAGTGCCCATCAACCAACAAGTGGATAAAGAAAACGTGGTACATGTACAATATGGAATGCTACTCAGCCACAGAAAGAAACAAAATAAGGTCTTCTGCAGCAACTGGGTTGGAGCTGCAGACCATTATTCTAAGTGAAGTAACTCAGGAATGGAAAACCAAATATCATGTGTTCTCACTTCTAAATGAGAGCTAAGCCAGGAGGATGAAAAGGCATAAAAATGATATAATGGAATGTGAGGGTTGGGGGAAGATTGGGAGTGGGGTGAGGGATGAAAGATTACATGTTGCATATGGTGTACACTGCTCAGGTGACGGGTGCACTAAAATCTCGGAAATCATCACTAAAGAACTTATCTGTCCGGGCGTGGTGGCTCACGCCTGTAATCCCAGCACTTTGGGAGGCTGAAGTGGGCGAATCACGAGGTCAGGAGATGAAGACCATTTTGGCCAACATGGTGAAATTCCACCTCTACCAAAAATACAAAAGTTAGCCCTGCATGGCAGCACCTGCCTGTAATCCCAGCTACTCAGGAGGCTGAGGGCAGGAGAATCCCTTGAACTTGGGAGATGGAGGATGCAGTTAGCCAAGATCATGCCACTGCACTCCAGCCTGGGCAACAGAGTGAAACTCCTCAAAAAAACAAACAACAGCAAAAAAGAACTTATCTATGTAACCAGAAACCACCAGTACCTCCCAAACTATTGAAATAAAAATAAAAAATTAACAACAAGATATAATGCTGAGACAAGTAAGCATATGCTGTAATGATTATAGCTATCTGTCTACTATGAAAGAAACCCCACGTTTATTTCCACAGAAGACTGGCTTGAATGATGTAAGATTTACATGATGCAAGGTCTTCAGGGTTACTTCCCTTACATAAAATTCAACTGCCCTACACACCTATTTGATGAAACTTGCAAATCCTGTCTCACAATCAGCTGTGTCTACCTCAAGGGTGAGCTTATGAAATCTTTATTTATTTATTTATTTATTTTTATTTGAGACAGAGTCTCATTCTGTCACCAGGCGCCAGGCTGGAGTGCAGTGGCGTGATCTCGGCTAACTGCAACCTCCGCCTCCTGGGTTCAAGCAATTCTCCTGCTTCAGTCTCCCAGGTAGCTGGGACCACAGGCACACACCACCATGCCCAGCTAATTTTTTTGTATATTTTTAGTAGAGACAGGGTTTCACCATGTTGGCCAGGATGGTATCAATCTCTTGACCTTGTGATCTGCCCACCTCAGCCTCCCAAAGTGCTGGGATTACAGGCTTGAGCCACTGTGCCTGGCCATGAAATCTTTTAAGTCAGGGACATGCTGGCTGAGCTGTGATCCCAAAGAAATGCAAACCCACAGGCTCACATATATACACACACAAAACCACATGTACATATACACCCTGGTGTGCACACATGTGTACACATATGTATGGCCTTCTCCATGGCAGAGGTGACCTCTGCTTCGTTGCATGGATAATGAAATCTTGGTCCATATACGCTAGTGACCCATCTCCCATCTCCTGTTTTGTGACAGCCCCAGTGAGCTGAACCTCTGCACGAGTCCCCTGTGTGGGTCTCCTCATGTTGTCAGACCTAACTCAGAAAGCTCTGCTCTGAGTTGGCTCTGTGAGCCCAGTGCTCAGGCAGGGCTTGGAGGCTGGCGCGTCTGTACCTTTACAGCAGCGTGCACGGCTAGAGGGGTGCTGGGGGGGCCAAGGCCCTGCTTCCCCGCATCTGACTGGTGGCTGGGCTGTGAGGCCGAGTCATTCCTGTCATTTTCTGAGCCAGAAGCAAGATCCTGAAATCCAAATTTTACAGTTATTAAGATAGAGGAATAAGATGCGTGACACAGAAATGTCAGAGTAGAGTCCGTATACATACCATTGCTGTTTTTATCCTAGCTTCTTGCCCAAGTAAATATCCACCTCCCCTCCCAGGGGGAGGAGTCACATACACGTATGTGTGTCTATATACAAATAGATATAAAAATCCTGTCATCCAGTTGAGAACATTTTTGAGAGAGAAAAGGAATCATTCTAAGTAATGATTCCAAAAGACAGGTATAAAACTGGTCTGTTCTAGGCAAACTGGGACACCTGGTCTCTCTGTGTAAGCATTCCACCTGTCTGTGACAAGGTCCACCTGTCTTGATAATGCAATTGACAAAGAAAGCAACAGGGTAGAATGGGTGTAGGAATTTGTGGAGAAAGTAGAACAACCAGCAAGGTGGAGGAAAGGGATGTTAGCAAAAAAGGGACAGTGTGTGTGCAAGTGTATGCGTATGTCCAAGTGTGTGTCCGAGTGTGTATACGTGCATGTATGTGTGCGCGTGCATTCTCGCTTATGTGCATGCATGTGTGTATATATGTGAGTGTATGTCAGGCATATACATGCATGTATATATGTGCACATGTGTCTCTCTGTCAGTGTATGCACATATATGTACACATGCGTGCCTACCAGTGTGTATATGTAGATGTGGTTTTGTGTGTATATATATGTGAGTTTGTGTGTGTGTATGTGTGCATGTGTCTAAAGTCATAAGAAACCTTTATGAAAGGCAGAGTCTGTAAAGGCAGTATTATTTTTTCTTTCTCGCCTACATTCCTCTATTTCAGCTCTGATGTAAAGGAGCCGGGACTGCCCGTGATCTCTCCACTGGGGGGTCAGGAGTGAGCTTTGCAGGTCTTCCCTGAGCCCTGCCTGGCACCTGTCAAAGCCCTGAAGGATTCTTTTCTCTTGGAGCCTCAGTGTCCTCATCTGTCAAACACGATTGCCGGGAGAAATGACATAAAATGATTTTCACGTCTTGCCTGGCATTGTTCATTGTTTGTTCTTGTCTTCCCCCCTCCCAAGGTTAAGCAGAAAAGAATTCACCTTTTCCTCAAACCATTCTTAAATCAGAAGTTGAGGAATTTACTGTCAGAATAAAGCGTACAAATGGGCTGATACACTGTTTGATGTTATCGAAGAAATTTGGCTGCAAAGACCAGCTGCGGCAAGCAGGGGAAGGAAAAACGCTTTGATTATGAACTCTTGCACAATAAACACATGCATATCTCGGCTCAGCTTTTCATGCCTCCCTTTTCCCTCCCATTTCACATTTTCTCCTTGGCAGCTTTAGGTTTGCTCTGATGGGGTGAAGATAGGCGTGACCGATGACCAGTAACTGGCAGGGTTTCGGGAAATGAGGCACGAATGATAATTATTTTAACTGTCCCAATAACTGCACGGTATTTTTCAGTGGGAAAAAATAACAACTTTCAAATATGTCTAATTTCAGTTCATTGCACAATTCCTGTGAGGTCAGGAGGAATAAATGCTTCCTAAAGGGAAGGGGCTGAGGGTCTGCAGGGTTCTCTGGAAAGCGGCAGAGATGGAAGAGCTCACATCTCCTTCCCCTCATATGGGGACGCCCACATGGATCTCTCTCTTAGGGGCTCCATGAATACCCTCTGGCTGTTCTCCCCAGGGATTGCTGACACTCTGTGATATTTCTAGAGACCACCCAGTTGCTCAGCCTTGTTGAACTTAGTGAGTTCCAAATTTCTCTTCAAAGAATCAGTATGCCGGTATGTTCAGCCTCCGTGTTCCTTGTTCTCTATCTTAAAGCTTAACTTCCTCATTCTCTTCATCTCTTTGCCCCATTTTCATTAAACAACTTTCCTGCCAGCTCTAATCAGTAGTTCACACCTGTTCCCCTGGTCATCTGCTCCATCCTGAGTCACCCCTGGTCACCTGCTCTGACCTGAGTTACCTTTAGTCACCTGTTCCAAAGCCATCTTTCCCACAGAGACTGCTCACCCTGCCACTCTGGCTCGTACCCCTGCTCTCTTTAAGATAGCCAGTTGGAATTAGCTTATACCATGCCATCCAACCCTAGCCAATAGGGGAATGAAACAGTGGTAGGGGTGACCTGCATCAGGGATAAGAACCCCTTCTCCTCCTTTGTTCAGGTGTGTTCTCACCATTGCTTCATCGGCAAGACACAAACTTCTATAGAAGTAAAAATTGTCTTGCTGAGAAAATTCATGTTTGAGTCCTTTTTTTTTTTTGTGACACTGAAAATTTGCTTCTACCAGCCTCACAGATCTTTGTTCCTCCTCTGTCAGAATCAACCTCAATGATATCTACTTGGAGGGGTCTCTGATTTCATTTGTGAAGGACTTGGCACTGCCCCTGCCCCAAAGTGAACATTTAACATGCAGCAGGAGCTATTGTTCATAATCATCATTGTTCTTTATAAATGTGCTTTAAGAGTATTCTCAATACATGTTCCTCATGCTCAAGGGTTTGTCGATTTGTCCAGAAAGAGGTGAGTGTTATGCTCGTGTTGGGGTTGGAAGTCGATTCTGCAGCAGTTTGCTAGGTAGAAACCTGCTAAGAGGAGAACCAATATGGGCCTCCCTGCCTTGGAGTAAACCCGCGCTTTCTTCTCTCCACTCCCCTGACCCCTGTCATGAGTACTTGGGACACAGAGAGATGGTGAACTTTAAATCAGTCTTGCTCTGGCACTTTCTAGCTGGGAGATTGTGGGTGAGTCATCCAATCTCACCAAGCCTTAGATGCTTCATAAAAATGGAGATATCGATATATCTGCTGGGCAGAGTGGATGGTTAATGGATAAACGGTGTAGTTCTGGAGGTTCTCTTCCAGTGTTTTCTGCAGGTTTTATCACCCCACATAGATGGCTGTGCTGAATAGCGTGACAAGAGGCATCAAAATGCTGTGTCAGCAAGGAACCTCTGGGATCTCTAAGCAAAGCCAGCTGTAACAGTGTTGATTTTAAGACTGTGAAATGACAATGTGCTGAGATGCTGTTTTACTTTTTTTTTTTTTTTTTTACCTGGATTGTCCCCAGAGAGCCTGTCAAAGTGGTCTCTGAGGCTTTAGCATCTGGCGGGGATCCCGCTGAGTTTTGAGGGTCTTCACTTCGAGTCTGATCCGGAGACAGGCCATCGCTGCTGCTGTCCTCTTCAAAGGCAAAAGCATCCGCAGATTTGGAGAAACTCACCTGGTTACCTGAGGGAGTGAAACCCAGGAGCAAGGTCAGTGGCTTAGGAGGATCAAAGGGCTTTTTTGTGGAAATGCTTTGATGTGTCATTTCTAATAGAAGTACACCTCTCTCCAGTTTGTTTTCAGTTTAGGTAAGAATGGAGCTGTATTTTAAATTATTTGGTTTCCCATAAGGGAATTCAAGTTAATAAAAGTGGTTTGTTTGGCGTGGAGAAAAGAGTGCTCTATCAAAGGATATCATTCGTTAAACTTTATTTGCAGGTTTCTGCATTTCTTCCCATTTTCTAGGGGAACCCATGTGTTTTTGAAGCTAAACTGGGGAAGATGAAGGAAATAACAGAGAATGCTGTGTGCAGAATGAAGCCAGAGGAAAACACGGTGGGAGCATGTGGCTGTGTCCCTCAGATCTTACGATGAGAGATGGAATTGAGATGACAGGCTGCCGTTTGCATCATCTTCAAACATAAAGCAGGGCACACAGCACAAAATGTTTAGCAAACTTTGTTAATAAGGATAAGCTAGGACAGCTAGTAATTTTAAATTCCTAAATGTCAGAATTAGCTAATGTCACCAGAGTGTCCCAAAGAGTGTCCCAATGAATGTATGACTGTTTACAAAGGCCATAAATGTGTCTCAGAATCTTCAGCTTGATCCTTATGTTTCTATTATTTGGAATTTCTTTGTATTCCTCCTATCTTTGTGTCTATTTTGGAACTCCTCAATGGCTCACACAAGCAGAGACTCTTTCTCAGTAGCCTGCATGGTTTTGCTAAGGGAACAGATAAACTGGTGTGGGAGAGGGGTTATCACACCAGATGGGACTAGAACGACATCCTTATATGTCCCTTACATTTTTATTTGCCAAATTTCATCTGGTTTATTCTCCAACTGCACAGTACACAATGTGCTGAAGCCACATAGCTCTCCTGACCTGATTCCAGGGTCGGCTCTGCTAAAGGAATTTAGGTATTATCAGGAAGTTTTCCAGTCCGATGTTCTGCAATCACACTGACAAGAACTTTTGACTCTTGCTTTGTGCAGATAAGAGAAAGGAGCTCTCACTGCAGGGACTGGAAAGGCAACGAGGAGGTGGAAGTAATGGAACAAATGTGGCTTTGGGCTTGTCATCGCCACCACTGCTGGCATCTGTCACGGGCCCTCTCAGCGGCATCCAAGTGTCACATCAGGAAGGAGGCCATGCAAGGACAGGGCAGGGGGAAATCTCCAGTCAAAGACCCACAGGGCGGCCTAGTAACTGGGAAGAGCTTGAGGCTTGGCATTTCTGCACCATGGGTTATTTATAAAAGTCACTGTTGGCCCGGCATGGTGGCTCATGCCTGTAATTCCAGCACTTTGGGAGGCCGAGGCGGGTGCATCACTTGAGGTCAGGAGTTCGAGACCAGCCTGGCTAACATGATGAAACCCCATGTCTACTAAAAATACAAAAAATTTGCCGGGTGTGGTGGCGGGCACCTGTAATCCCAGCTACTCAGGAGGCTGAGGCAAGTAGAATTGCTTGAACCTGGGAGGCGGAGGTTGCAGTGAGCCGAGATCGCACCACTGCACTCCAGCCTAGGTGACACAGGGAGACTCTGTCTTAAGGAAAAAAAACCTCATTATTGCTTTACCGTGAATATAAAAGTAATACATGTTCATCATAGAAATTCATACTTTAGAAAAACACCTAAGGCATATAATTCACCTTCTGTTAATAACTTGTCTTTTCTAGATTTAACTCTATGCATATAAAAGGACATATACAAACATACTTTAACAGTATTTCCTACAGATAGGACTGGATGAAATATACTGTTCTGAAACTTGTTTTTTTTTTTTTTTTTTTTTTTTTTTTTTTTACTTCGCAATTTTCTAGTTTTTTTTCCATGTGAGAATATAGAGAACTTCCTCACTTTTTTAAACAGCGGCACAGTGTTCCATTGTATTGATGGAGATTCTTATTTTCAATTTTTCCTTGCATGTTTTTTGAAGTATAAAAAAATTGAAATAATAGAAGAGTACAGAGAATAATATAACTTATCTACTTACCTATAACCTGAAATAAAGAAATGTTAGCATCTTCTCTAATTTGTGTCAAGAAACTTGTTCATTTTCTAGCAGGGAAGGTTCATTGGGTATTTGGATAATGCTAATTTTTTTTTGAGATCAGGAGTCACCCTTCTTCCCCTTTCGTATTCTGGTCCCTAACCCCTCCTTCTCTATTTTAAGAGTCCAGCGTTAACTCACACCCTTCCTTTTTTCTTTCCTCATGGCAAAACTCAGAGTCTGCAAATAGCCTCTCTGTGTCATTTTCACGTAATGTGAATGAGCTTATATTCTATTTTTCCTTTCTCAGGGAGACCATGTGTCTGAGAGCTTCCAAGGAAGGTCCTTCCGTCACTTCCATGAAAATACTTCTATTATGAACTCAACCCATACATTACTTTAGAAACTATGTTTTCACTGAAATTTTGAGTCTAAGTATATTTGTGGAATTAAAGGTTCTCTTCCTGTTAAAAGGATGATGTGAGGCTGGGTGCGGTGGCTCACGCCTATAATCCCAGCACTTTGGGTGGCCAAGGTGGGCCAATCACCTGAGGTCAGGAGTTTGAGACCAGCCTGGCCAATATGATGAAACCCTGTGTCTACTAAAAATACAAAAATTAGCTGAGTGTGGTGGTGTGCACCTGTAATCCCAGCTATTTGGGAGGCTGAGGCAGGAGAATCACTTGAACTCAGGAGGCAGAGATTGCAGTGAGCAGAGATTGCACCACTGAACTCCAGCCTGGGCAACAGAGCAAGACCTTGTCTCAAAAAAAAAAAAAAGAAAAAAAAGGATGATGTGGATTACTGAGGGTCAGGTAGGCAGGCAGGGGAGTAGGTGGCACATCCCTTGGGCCAGTGCCATTCACACTCTCAGAGACCCTGCGTGTGACTTTGCCAGCCTCTCAGGGCAGCCAGTCTTCTGTGCCCAGCAGGACCCTCTGTCTGAGAGCTTCATCATCTCACATCCCTGCCCATTTCCTCCAGTCTAAATGCATATGGACCTTCTCTGCGCTGATACTTCTTGTGACAAAGACCCCTCTGGCCTCCACACAGGGTATCACATCCCAGATATGTACAAATTAGAGCAAACTGACCAAATTGCAAAATTTTCTACAAATTCTGACACATGGGTACAAATGTTAAAAGAAAGGGAGAGAGAGTGGTTTGTCCTCTTATCCCCCCAAAACCCTACTTTCATTGTTTCATGTGGACAGTTAGTAAATCATAAAAATAGCAGGTGCACTGGTAGTTCACCTAGCAGTGGCAGCAGTAGCAAGAACAGCCAACTTTGTTATACTTCACAATAGTTCAGGAAAGGAGCACATTTTCTCTCTCTCTTTTTTTTTTTTTTAGACAGTCTTGCTCTGTTGCCCAGGCTGGAGTTCTCACTGAAACCTCCATCTCCGGGTTTAAGTGATTCTCCACCTCAGCCTCCCAAGCAGCTGGGACTACAGGCATGCACCACCATGCCCCAGCTCATTTTTGTATTTTTAGTAGAGATGGGGTTTCACCACGTTGGCCAGGATGGTCTCGAACTCCTGACCTCGGGTGATCCACCTGCCTCGGCCTCCCAAAGTGCTGGGATTACAGGTGTGGGTCACTGCACCCGGCCTTCTCCTTTCTTTTTAATAGATGAACACATTGTAAGGTCTGGCCTATCCAGTTATTTCGGGACTGAACTGGGACTGCAGTGCCAGCCTTTGGAATCTCAGAGTCACCTGGCAGAGGGGGTGGCAGAATCAGTCACCCTCCCTGGAAGCAGCAGGTGAAACCATTGTGTGGTTTATAGACCATCATCAACACACCCAGTTGATTGGGGGGTAGGTAGGGCAGGGTAGTGCAGAAAATGACCAAGATCTCTACTTTTTATACATGAGTCATATACTAAGGGCATCTCCAGAATTCCACAAAATAACTGAATTTTTGAGATTTGAGGGACTGAATGTGGCCTCTTGCTTTTGAGGAACAAAGAAGGCAGGAAAGGGTCCTGATGAATTACATTTGGACTTGCCTCAGTAAAGAGATGGAAAGACCGTGGAGGTCCTGCTGTTACCACCAATGAAGCAGCCCTTTATACTCTGACACCTGGCATTTGGTAACCTCAGGCCAAAGCACTAGAATGATGTGGAAAAGTCTAGAAGGTGAGTATCTGGAATAAAGGTATAAGTAATGAGCCCCCCTTTCCTCGGGGCTGGACAGAGCATTCCTTAGTTACTGTGTTTAACTCCAGCGTTCCCATTTTAAGAGGAGTAGAGGCGAGCTGAGGTGTGATCAGATAAGATATGGCTAAAAGAAGAGACAGAAAACCATGGGAAAGGAGATCCTTGTATCTCGATGGGACACAATCAGAGACTCTGTCACGGGCCAGTCTGCCTGGTGAGTGCCGCTGGCAGTTACAGGGAGGAAACCGCAATGTGGGGTTGTCCAAGAAGCTTCCTGGAGGAGGGGATTGGATGGAGCCCGAAGTGACTGTCAGCGGTGGACAGGACAGCAGAAAGGGAGATGGGCCTATCTGACAACGAAAGGATGGGGCGAGTGGTCAAGAAATGACAAGGTGGCCATTAGCAGGCTTGGGATGGGGAGGATGAGAAAGAAATGCCTCCAACCAGGGGAGAGGGTTATTTTAGGAGTTAACCCCTGGAGAGACATTGCTTCTAGGAGTCTCCCGTGCTTAAGTCAGTGAAATGAGGAAACCATGAGTGCATGCAATTGCCTCCCGAGTATAGGCGTACACTTGCACAAAGAGCCAAGGTGAGCACCAAGGCCCCACATGTGACTCCTCTCCAGTATCTAAAAAGCATGATGTGCCAGGTCAGGAGACACTGACAGCTGCACTTAGGACCCCTTGTCGCTGTCCAGGCCCCAAAACCCCACCATGGGGGTCCTTGTCAATCACCGCTCCTTCAGGACTACAGGTGGCTGGTTCAGATGTGCCGCGGCCAGGGAAGAAGACGAAGGAAAAG